GTTTAAAACACTGGTGATCAGGATCCTCACAGAACTCATTGATTATACCCACAAATTAGACAAACATATGAAGGTGAAACTAATTGAAATGAATGGAATTGCACAGGAAACCAATAGCGATGAAAAGGAAACTGGGACTCAAATCAATGGAGTGGACCAGAAGAAAGCAAATAATGGCCAAACAGAAAAGAGTCAAGAAGCAAGAATTCAAAGAAATGAGGAGAGCCTTAGGAACCTCCAGGAAATCTTTAAATGCTCCAACATCCAAATTATACGGGTACCAGAAGGGGGAAAGGAACAGCCACCAGTGGAAAACTTATTTGAACAAATAATAAAGGAGAATTTCCCCAATCTGGCAAAGGAAATAGACTTCCAGGAAATCCAGGAAGCTCAGAGAGTCCCAAGGAAATTGGACCCAAGAAGAAACACACCAAGGCACATCATAATTACATTAGCCAAAATTAAAATGAAGGAGAGAATCCTAGAAGCAGTAAGAGATAAGGGGACAGTCACCTACAAAGGAGTCCCCATCAGACTGTCAGTGGATTTCTCAAAAGAGACCTTACAGGCAAGAAGGGGCTGGAAAGAGGTATTCCAAGTCATGAAATCCAAAGACCTACAACCAAGATTGCTCTATCCAGCAAAACTTTCATTTAGAATGGAAGGACAGATAAAGTGCTTCTCAGATAAGATCAAATTCAAGAAGTTCATCATCACCAAGCCCTTATTATATGAAATGTTAAAGGGACTTACCTAAGAAAACAAAGTTAAAGAAACATGAACAGTGGAAGGACAACAAACTCACGGTTATTAACAACCACACCTAAAACAAAAGCAAACTAAAAGGACAGCTAGATCAGGAGTGGAAACATAGAAATGAAGATCTCAAGGAGGGTTAGCAACAGGGGAGTGGGAGGAGGAGAAGGGGGAAGGTACAGAAAATAAGTAGCATAGACAGTAGATAGAAAATAGAAGGGGGGCAAGAATAGTATGGGAAATATGGAATCTAAAGAACTTGAGACACATGGTCATAAACTAAAGGGGGGTAATGGTGGGGATGGGAGGGTAGGGTGGAGGGGAATGAAGGGGGGAATAGAACAACTGTAACAGCATAATCAATAAAAAAATAAATTAAGAAAAAAAAGAATGTATACCCAGAACAACTATCTTTCAGTAATTAGGGAAGGAATAAAGACATTTTTTAGAAAAAAACCAAGACAGTTTACCACAGACAGGCCCTCAGTAAAAAAAAAGGTCTAACACAGGTGTTGCTTGCAGATGGAAAATGAGCCCACGTAGAAGGTATAGATTTGAGAATGCTGTGCACAGATATTGAAAAATATGTAGGTAAACTTAAATACATATTGTGTAAAACAATAATAATAATATCTTATTTGATGGTTTAACTAAAATTAGAATGAAAATATTGGAAAACAGTAATATATATGTTAAGAAACAGTAATGATATTCATGTCTATGGTTTTTACATATTAACTGGAAGGAGAATAAACATAAACACTAAAGTGCACAGTAAATAGTTAAACATTATGAGGATTCCCATTAAATTATTTTAGGGTACCTACTAAAAGACTAATCAGAGAGCATAAGCTATAAACTAAGTACATAGAAAAAGTTAAATTTAAAAACTCAATTGAAAAGAAAGAAGAGAAAGGTCAAAAGAGACAGAAACAAATAGCAAACAAAAAGGAAAAGTAGAAGTCATTCGAAATGTACTAATATTTATGAACAATGTAAACAAAGCCCATGTTTCAGTATAATAACAAAAGCACTATTTTAAAACATAAAACAACAAAAACAGGTTTTCAGGAGCAACTATAAAGGTCACACGGACAAAACTAAGGGAGGTTTGAATCAGGGAAGGGAGATAGGAATGGCTGGGGTGGTGGGGAAGAGGTGGAGAGAAAAGGCAGACAACTGTACTGAAAAACAATAAAATTTTTAAAAATAAAAAAAATAGCTCTTTACTGTTTGTTTACAAGGGAAACACCTAAAACATAAGGACACAGAAAGCCTAAGACAAAAGAATAAAACAGTTCCAGGCATTCACTAACCCAAAGAAACCTGGTATAGACCTATTATTATTAGACATAATTGTTATGGCAAAAAATAAAGGTCACTATATAGTAAAAGTTTTGATTCTACCAGATAACATAAAAATTACAAATATGTGTGATTCTAATAGATTCTGATATATATGCCAAAACTTAATAGCAATTGATAAATCTACCATTATAATAGAAGATATTTAATATACTTAGTAACTGATATATCAAGCATATTAAGAAATTGTAAATTTGAACAAGACAATTGAAATAATTGATCTAAAAGACATAAATATGCTGTGGCTGGTGTAGCTCAGTGGATCGAGCGTGGGCCTGCAAACCAAAGGATCGAGGTTCGATTCCCAGTCAGGGCACATGCCTAGGTTGCAGGCCAGTCCCCAGCAGGGGACTCATGAGAGGCAATCATACATTGATGTTTCTGTCCTTCTCTCCTTCCCCTCTAAAGATAAATAAAAATAAAATAAAACAAAACAAAATAAAATAAAATACATAAATAGAACAGTGAACTTAACTAGAAAATATTCATTTCTTTTTTTTAAAATATTTTATTTACTTATTTATTTTTTGAGAGAGGGGAAGGGAAGGAGAAAGATTGGGAGAGAAATATCAATGTATGGTTGCCTCTTATGAGCCCCCTGCTGGGAACTGGCCCACAACCCAGGCATGTGCCCTGACTGGGAATCGAACCGCGATACTCTGGTTCACAGGCCCGTGCTCAATCCACTGAGCTACGCCAGCCAGGGCCGAAAATATTCATTTCTTTAAGCACACATAAAACATCTATGAAAATTTACCACATTCAGGCACTAAGTCAAACTCAATTTCAAAAGACTAGTATCGTAAATCCACCATGTCTCATTATGATATAATAAGAAGTCGATGACAAAAAGATGACCAAAAATACTCCATTACTTTGGGAATTTGTAATTCAAATAAAGTTCAAGAATAAAGCTCACCTTTAACAGGAACCTAAACAACAAAACAAATAAACAAGCAAAATATAACCAAAGACACTGGAATAGAGAACAGGCTGACAGTGACAAGAGGGGAGGGAATTTCAGGAGAAAAGGTGAAGGGTTTACAGGAACAAGTATCAAGGACAGACACATGGACAAAAACTCGGGGTGGGGATGGAAATGGGAGGGAGGTCAGGAGGGCTGAGAGGGTTGGCTGAGATGGGAGTAAAAGGCAGAAAACTTTACTTAAACAACAATTAAATTAAAAATTTTTTAAAGAAGAGAAAATGAAAATAAACTATAAGTCATAAGGGAAATTAGAAAATATTTAGAACTGAATTATATTGAAACCACAATATAAAATTTGTGTGATACAGCTAAATTAGCAATTACAGAGAAATTTATACTTTAAAAACAGGACTGAAAAGTAATCTAATCAATAAATTAAGAAAAAGAATACTAGAATAAATAAACTCAAAGAAAGTAGAAGGAAATAATGACTAAAAAAAGTCATAGAAATTTATTTATGAATGACAGAAAATGCTGAAAGTTGTTTCACAGAACAGACCAATTAATAAACCTCTGCCAAGAATGTTGGAGTGCTGGGGGACAGACAGAAGACACAAATCAAAATGTTAAGAATAAAATGTAAAAATTATATTGTAAACTGTCTTATCCCAATCAATTAAAAGTTAGATGAAATGGGAAATAAACTTGCAGATTAACTTACTAAGAATGATTTGAGAATAAATCTCACACATAAAAAATCAGGTCATGAGGTTTTACTGGCAAAGGCCTATCTGGTACCTGATAGAAGGATGAGGGGACACAGCCCTACTCATGCTACGAGGCTAGCATAAATTTGATAGTCAAGAAAGGGATGTAAAAAGCCAAATTTTCTCACAAACAACAATTATTTTAAAAATTAGCAAATCAAATCCAGCAATAATTATATAATGAGCAAATTGTGCAGGAATGAAAAATTAGAGAACAACTAATTTACCAGATTAACCAAACAGGAGGAATCATTGTAGTTGGAAATTTGACATCCACCCACCCCCTTCACAACCAACAGCCAACATTAAAATCTGGCCAACAAGAACTTTCTTTGGATAAAAATATGTAATGTTTTCCAGAAGGGTGCCCTATAATGTTAAGGCAAGATGACACAGAGAAGTGGTAGGCAGGGTAGTTTATCACAATATTAATTTGTGTTTTGTCATTGCTGCTTTGGATGAATGAATAAAGGTACAAACTATTACTGTTTTGTTCTTTTGTTTTCCCCCTCTGGCTTCAAGGGTCATGGGGGTGAAGATGGGGGTCTCTACTCTCCCTAGCTCTAGTGCGATTCTGCGTTACAGAAATAAAAGTAAAAGGTTGTTTAGGGAAGTCTGAACTCATTGAAGAGATTGGCCTACAGAAGTAAAAGGAGTGATTGCCCTCTCTAGGAGAATTGGAAACAGCAGATAAGAACAGGAAGAGGTCCATGATTGGGAAAGATAATGTACTTTGTGTTCTATAAGTCAAATGGCCTCACCATCTCCTGGCAGTGCTCTGAGGGGCAGAGAATGCAAGGCAAAGGCTGCCAGCACATAAAGGAGACTGGGTACAGGCACCAAAGCTTCAAGGAGCAGCAAAAAGGCCAAAGGAGAAGGTGAGCCTATCTACAGAATTCTGCACCCAGTTTCTAAGACTGGAAAGCTTCCCTGGTTCTTGTGGGACCCAACAATATCCCCCCCACACTGAATTCACTCAGATTGGTTTCCCCTTAGTTCCCATAGTAGGGAAGCTTGGCGTCAGAGTTAACTTGATTTAAAGAAAAGGAAACCATGTGACATTTCTGCACACCCAGCTTGCAGCCTAGGCTTTCTACCCACTTACACATGCAAGATGTTTGGGGAGGAAACCAGAGACAGACACATTGATGACCCCACTGCAGAAGCAGATAGCAAAGCTCTACCTGTCCTCCATGTCTGGCCACTGCTCAAAGTTGCCTTGGGAGTCACTGATAGCTTCTCCCTTCTGGGCATCCACAGGTGCTTCCTGCCCCACTCCCAGGGGCTCCTTCAGGTCTCGGCATAGATGGAGGGTTCCACTGGCCATGCTGTCCAGGAAACTGAGGATCTGGAGGCAGCTCTGTATCTTGGGTGGGAATGGACTGGCAGAGGAAAAAGCTAGACTCAGTAAATCAGAAAATGGCCTGGCCTTTGTGTTGTCCCAGGAATTCAGAGAAGCTCCTTCTTCCTCAATGGCCCCAAAACAGCCCAACAAGCAGAGGTCCTCAGTCAGCTTCTCAAAGAGTCCATTCCTCCTGAAAAAGTCACTGTTGACAGGGTCCCGGTGCAGTGCTGCAGACACAGCACAGAGGGTGTGCAGAACCAGGTCCAGCGTCTGGCTGTGGGACACTGGCCCCCACATCTGCAGTGGGGGCTCCTGGAGAGAACCCTCCAGGTCAGCGAGCAGGGACAGCAGTCCATTGAACCCACTGGAGACTCTGAAAGCAGCACGGCCTTTGGGGGTCTCCAAAATCCGGAGTAGAGACTGAAACATCAAGAAGATAAAAATGAGTAAAGTCTGGGAGGCAGAATTTTAACACCAAGCTCCTGCACATCCCTGCCAAAGCATCGGAGGTGCTCTTCCTTGCTCAAGCATAGGAACAGCTAGCTACCTGAAGGACAATTGTGAAACATCAGGAGCTGAATACTGCCCCTCTTAATTTTAGTTTTAGGTTGGCCCTCAGAGCCTTCTTGCAAATGGCCTCTTATAAAGAATGGGACAACTTATAGTGCTGATTTACTGCCCTATGTCTTTAGTTACATGCATCTTTCTCCAGAAAGCTTTTTCCTGACCCCTAGTTCATACTTATCCCAGGCTGAGTGCTCACACAGCCTCCTCTAACTCCTTGATCAAAGCTCTCATCAAACTGGATTACAGTTACCTGACAACTGTCTCAGCCCTCTACCAGAGCCATGAAATCAAGCTCTCTCACTGCTGTGGAAACAGCACACACTTAAGAAGTATTCACTAAACAAGTGAAATGAACCATTTCTTCTATTGCAAAAGAGGCTCACAGTGAAATCTACATAAAACAATTTATTATTAATATCTCTTCTGTGATATCATGGGGACCACTATTAAATGAGGAATTATGGTAAAATAAATCTACTTAAAATCTGCTGTGAGAATATGAGGGAATCAAGGTACAGAAGTAAAGCCTTTAATGAAAGGTAACCCATAGGAGTAGCATATAGAAGAGACTATGTTGAAGTTTAGGCTACTATACACAGTAAAATCTACCCTCTCCAGATTACTGAGGTTTTTACTGGTCACCCAAACCTTTAAGTCCTTCTAAAGCAAAACATTTATTTATTTATTTTAAATATATTTCATTGATTATGCTATTACATTTGTCCCATTTTCCCCTCTTTATTCTCCTACACCTTGCACACCTCCTCCCCCCCCATTCTCTCCCTTTAGATCATGTTCATGGGTCATACATGTAAGTTCTTTGACTTCTACATTTCATATACTATTCCTAATTTTCCCTTGTCCATTTCAACTTACCATCTATGCTACTTATTCTCTATACCTTTTCCCTCTCTCTCCCCTTCCCACTCCCCTGCTGATAACCCTCCATGTCATCTCCATTTCTGTGATCTGTTCCTGTTCTAGTTGTTTGTTTTTCTTTTTGTTTTAGTTTTCTTTGGTTCACTTGTTAATAATTGTGAGTTTGTTGTCATTTTACTGGTCAGACTTTATCTTCTTTTTCTTAGATAAGTCCCTTTAACATTTCATATGATAAGGGCTTGGTGATGATGAACTCCTTCAACTTGACCTTATCTGGGAAGCACTTTATCTGCCCTTCCATTCTAGATGATAGCTTTTCTGGATATAGTAATCTTGGATGTAGGTCCTTGCCTTTCATGACTCGAAATACTTATTTCCAGCCCTTTCTTCCCTGTAAGGTTTCTTTTGAGAAATTAGCTGATAGTCTTATGGGAACTTCTTTGTAAGTGACTGTTCCCTTATCTCTTGCTGCTTCTAGAATTCTCTCCTTCATTTTAATCTTGGGTAATGTAATTATGATGTGCCTTGGTATGTTCCTCCTTGGGTCCAACTTCCTTGGGACTCTCTGAGCTTCCTGGATTTCCTGGAAGCCTATTTCCTTTGCCAGATTGGAAAAGTTCTTTTTCATTACTTTTTCAAATATGTTTTGAATTTCTTGTTCTTCCTCTTCTTCTGGCACCCTTATGATTTGGATGTTTGAGCATTTAAAGATATCCTGGAGGTCATAAGCCTCTCCTCATTTTTTTGAATTCTTGTTTCTTGATTCTGTTCTGGTTGAATGTTTCTTTCTTCCTTCTGGTCCAAATTGTTGACTTGAGTCTCAGTTTCCTTTCTGTCACTGTTGGTTCCCTGTACCTTTTCCTTTATTTCACTTTTTCCTATATTTTGCAACCACATTCAACCAATTCAGTGAGTATCCTGATTGCCAGTGTTTTGAACTGTTAATTTGATAAATAGGCTATCTCTTCATCACTTAGTTGTATTTTTTCTGGAGCTTTGATCTGTTCTTTCATTTGGGCCATTTTTTTAATCTTGGCATGCCTGTTATGTAGTAAGGGGTAGAGCCTTAGGTGTTCACGAGGGTGGAGCAACCCACATACCTGGGTTGTGGTGCTATATGTGAGAGAGGGGTCCAAGAGGAAACAGTGACACTTGCTCTACCCTTTGCCAGTTTTCAGTCACTTCCTCTGCTACCCACAATCAAATTGGGCCCTTCTGGTGCTGATTCCCAGGTGTGTGGGTTAGTGTATGTTCTAGCACCCTGTATGTCTCTCCCACAAACTCTCCTGTGAGTCTGGAAGTTTCTCCATCTGTCACCTCAACCCTCACAGGTGTTGTCAGTCAGAGGCTTAGAGGCTTTATTTTCCTGTGCTGGAACCCTGGGTTGAGCAGTCTATCCTGATCCGCAGTTGTTCCTCCCAGTTTGTGCACATGCAAAAGTGGAACTGCCCAGTCAGCCAGCTGCCGCCTTGCCCTCCTCAGTCCTCCAGCCACTGCCTGGCCTCGATTCCTCTCCACCCTGGCTGCCTGTCTCTGACCCTCCTACCAGTCTGGATGAATGTTTCTTCTTTAACTCCTTGGTTTTCAGACTTCCATACTGTTTGATTTTTTTTGTCATTTCTGGCTGTTTTTTGCTTCTAAATTTGTCATTGTCCTTCTTTTGGTTGTGCAAGGAGGCATAGTGTGTCTACCTACACCTTCATCGTGACCAGCACAAAACAGTTATTCAGCACTTACATTGTGTCATTCATTGAGCCCAGTGCATGGTGTACATTTAATAAATGGTACATATTTAATAAATGTTTTAGAAGGAAGGACTGAATTGAAGAAGCTCTTACTATGTGCTGAAGCTTTATGCCTAAAAGTGAGATATGTGCAAATAATATTTAGTTATTTACTCATTATAAAAATTGCAGGGGACTCCATCAAAGACCCAGGCATCTTATGCATATTTCCCAGAAAATGGCCAGTCAATGAAATTTGATTAGTAGGCTCTGGAGGAAGATCTGAATTATTTGGTCTTTTCAGATATTTACTGCTCTAATGACACAGAATAAATGAGGATCTGGGCAGGCCCAATTTAGATTCAATTCCAGGATGCGTGAAACAAGGTTCAGAGAAAAAAAATAAATTTTCAATTTGGGAGGGAGGGAGTGATGTTGTCTCTTAAATGCATAGTTTAGGATAACAATCAATAATATAATGCTCAAAGTTAATAGACAAAGGGAAATTGTATGGCAGATTTTTTAAAGAAGTGAAGAAACTAAATAAAAACATATAGAAAGTGTCAAATAGATACTCAGTAAAATGACAGGTAACTAGGTAACTATGAATTATGGAGTCATGCACTTAAGAGGGATAAAGGCAATTTTTTAGCTTTATCCTTAAAATGCTAGTAATCCTAAACTAACACTAGTGTTTGCCTGAAACAATATGCCCCTAACACAAAAATGTTGTTGTTTAATATTATATTCTCTACAAAAAACCTGAACTGCTTAGTGGAAAGTAGATTTCCTACTTGGCTAGGAGAACACAGAATGAGCCAGGAATAAGTGAATGTGCACAGGTGATGACTTTCAAAATGACAAGATATGATGACCAAGGAGCTGATGAAGAAGTTCCACTGCCCCATCAACGACATTTTGAGAAATTAGAGAACAAAACAAGACAAAGATTGTAGTAACTAGGAGAATCTATGAAAGGGTAAAGTCCAACATTATGTTCAAAATGGATATATGATGGACTTGGAGAACATTATGCTAAGTTAAATAAGCCAGTCAGAGAAAGAAAAGTACCATATGATTTTACTCACATGTAGAAGATAATGAACAAACTGAACTAACAAGCAAAATAAAGACAGACTTATAGACAGAGAATAGGATGACAGCTCTGGGGATACAGGGATGGAGGGATTGAGCAAAAAGGAAGAACTCAGGAACAGCAGTGTGGTGATTATGAGTGGGAATGGAGGAGGGGAGGTGAAAAAAGGTATGGAGGTATAAATGGTGACAGAAAAAAATTAATTTAATTTAAATTAAAAAATAAAAATAAAGCAGATATTTTAAAAATAATAAATCACTTTATATAAAAAATGAGCAAATTATAAAGTGAAATAAAGAAACTGGTTATTTTCCTGGCTATAGAAAGAGAAAAATGCATGACTTCTGGTGGTTAAATCAATGCTTGTCTACCAGAACTCAGGGAGACAATTTTGGAGAAATTAAATCGTCATTTTGTTCCTTAACAGAAACTCAGTAGCAGGGCCATCATCTAATAAGAGATGAAATCAGAATGGTGGAATAGACTTCAGAGAGAAGGACACAGAAAAGAAACACTAAGGACTAAGCAATAACTATCGCTTTCTCCTGCTGGGTAAGGATATGGCCTAACTATTTCTTTAGTAGTAATCAGTCTGTTCAGATTTTCTGATTCTTCTTGATTATATGTTTCCAAAAATTTATCCATTTCTTCCAGATTTGTTCAGTTTGTTGGCATATAGTTGTTCATAGTATTTTCTTATAATCCTTTGTATTTTTGTAGTGTTAGTTGTAACTTCTATTTCATTTCTCATTTAATTTATTTAGATCCTCTTTCTTTTTTCTTGATTCTGTGGTTAATCAATTTTTCTTAATGACTCTGGCTTGTCAATTTTGTTTGTCTTTTCAAAGAACCAGCTCTTGGTTTCATTTATCTTTTGTGTTGGTTTTTTAGACTCTATTTCATTTATCTCTACCTGATTTGTATTATTTTCTTCCTCCTACTCACTTTGGGCTTTTAATTTGTCATTCTTGTTTTAGCTCCTTAAGGTGTAAGGTTAAGTTATTTATTTGATATGAACAACTACGAGTTTGTCCAGAAAGTATCTAGCCATGCAATATGAAAAATAGAGACATTTATTGAAGAAGTTATGAGATATAAGAAACACTGTACATAGGACAATGACACTTCAGTCCCCTTCAAATAAGTACCTTGGG